GACAAAGCAGCACAACAGGTGTCTGCTGCCTCCAGCTCCATCATGTTTTTAGCCCTCTCCATCACTGCTCAGCCTGGGACACTTTCAATACTGGCTGAAGAAACATTTAATCTTTCCCTTCCCCTCCAGACAGCACTATGTGCCATGTAATCTTGCTTCTTGGAAGCCGGACCAATTCTCTCATGTTCTGTTGCTACAACTCTGAGAAACATCCACTTAGAAGTACGTGAATAAGCCCGCAGCTGGAAGCTTTCAGCAAGCTATAAGACATAAACAGCAGACTGTTTTCATCATACAGCTTTGTTAGTTTGCCATTATCAAAAAGGAAAAAAAATCCAAACACACAGTCCAAACACAATTCTGTTTTCCCAAAAGTCACAAAAAAAGATTTTGAATGAACGTACCGTACTGGCCACGGCTTATCTGTCACGCAGAGATAACCACTGCATTTTTTTGGAGACCTACAAAGTCTGCTTTGGGACGCTGCAATGGCATAACATGCAGGTTTATCAGTTTTGCATCTTGTTTTGTTTATGTTTTCCTCTCTCATTATTCATTTCATTTTCACTCACTTTTTACCTTCGCTCACTGCTTATGTTTAGGTAATGAAAGGTGCTCCTTGATGTTTAGGTGCTGAAATGCACTTTATTAGGTTTTTCGACTAAAAGCTACTTCATTAGGGTTAGATTGATAAAAGATTGTGGACTGGATTAAAACACTTCAATAATAGCATCCCTGCACAGAGAAAACTGACAGACTTGGGAGTGACAGGCACGTCTTACAGCGCTAACCCAGTGTGTCATGTGCCACGACCAAAGGACATCTTGTGAGACACGCCGGCGGCTTGGAAAAAACTGCATTATTTGTTCAAAAGATTCTGTGAAAGCTGATTGAGGGAAAATCAGCTTCACATAAAACACCAGCGAGGGATTTCAGTTCTGATACTTTATTCCCCACGTTCCTTAGTTTCTTAATTAGCTCTGAGAAATTATCCCAAAGAAAAAGGCTTGTGATATTTTTTTTTATTTTCATCTTCAGCTTCCATCTTTACAAGCTTCATTATGTTTCTGCTCCACGCTTGCCAAACACCATCTGTCACTCAAACAGTGTGAGCTTTGATCTCGTCTTCTACGGCTTTTCTCTGCAAAGTATGGGCGTATTAGAGCTGGATATATCCAAACATTACTTGCTCACCCAGCATTAAAAAAAATTCCCTGATGTTTTGTGTTTTTTTCCTAATAATATAAAAGAATGTCAACAGAAATGAGATGAAGTTGGAAAACCTGCAGTGCAAAAGTTTTCTAAATGAGTCCTCCTCTGCTACGAGGATGAACTCTCATCAGACTATAGCACGACTTTTTGCACCCCAGGGTAAATATCCCTGGTTGGATCCAGTCATGTTGCAGTCCAGACAGATGAGCTTAATATACCACTGTGGCCTTCACACCTGAGTCCCTGCTGTTCTCTCGTGCATTGAGGCTACTGAGAGACACGCACAGTATGAGGAAATGTAGGAAATACTACCTCATCAACTCTTTATTATTCTCTTGAATTTTCCATCTGTCACGTTGGTGTATTGATTCTAAGTCGATGTCAGCTTCTTGTTTTTACTTTCTTTTCCCACTGCTGATGTCCGTGTTTATCTGCTCACAGTATATTCTGTACAAACCTAACATCCATACAACCAACATATTTAATTCAAAGGAACTGATTTTTACTCAGAAGGAGAAAAGCATTCGTGAGGTTGATATCTGTAGCTTCAGTTCTTATTAGAGCTACAACCAGGAATATTCCATTAGTGGCTCATATACTGATTAATCATTAATCCAATTATAATTTTCAATCCACTTTAGTTTACTGTATATGAAAGAAGATAACCATCACTTTTAGAAGTGGAACTAGAAAAACTTTGGCATTAGGTGATACCAGACTGATTGATTTTAACTGATAATTAAATCTTTTTATTTTCTCAGAGATATTTTTTATTAGATTGAAGCAACAAAGAAAAAGAGATACAAACAGAATTATTACACGCAAAGCAAGTAGATTTCAATGATTGTTTGAGCTGACATAATAGAATACAGATTAATGACGCATTCACATATCTTTTAATTGCTTTTATCAGTTTACCCCATACCCATACCACACAGTAGCCCCATCCCTGAAGCCAGGTTGAGAAAACAAAAACCAAAACAAGAAACACCGCCACAAATACAACAGGACAAAACAGAACAAAATAAAACAAACACACAAATAAATATAAAAAGAAAAAAGAAAAAAAGAAAAGAAAATCTACATTATCAATATTGGGGGTGATTTACTGAGAAATGCTGGAGGTCGGTTCGCAAACTGAAGGCTGGAAAAGTTCTTCAGGAATCATCCCCACATCTTGTAAAACTTATCACTGGTATTACTAATCGCATAACGGATCTTTTCAAGGCTCAGATAGTACATAAGGTCCCTCAGCCACTGAGCATGGGTGGGCAAAGGAACACCCATCCATCTTAGTAGGATCGCACATCTAGCCAGAAGAGAGGCAAAAGAGTGTGCGCCACACTGTGACGAGGTCAACCTTGCATCAGCCTCCCCAGTGGTGCCAAAAAGCACAACTAATGGTTTAGGATCCATATGGTATCCAAGATTTAGGGATAAGGTTTGAAATATGTCTGTCCAGAATCCTTCAAGGCTAGGGCACGTCCAGAACATATGGATAAGAGGAGAAAAACTTTAATTAATAAATTATGAATCATTTCAAAAAATCTTTATAGCTCACTTTTTTAATCTAAGTGGATTAAATTGACTTTACATCACCTCTTGTTTTTGTGAGATTAGCCTTATTTCCTGAATGCTACCAAAACAACCTGCACCACATGCAGAGTTGTGGACAGTTATCCTGGCAACATCAAGGTCATTCTCCACAGCTGGAAACATTGGGTGAAAACAGAGAGTATTCTTAGTGTGAACATAATGTTCAAACTGTAAATAAGTGGAATGAAAAATGAAAATGTTTTCTCAAAAGCCCTGAAAGAATGAGCACAATTTACTGGTTTGTTTAAGTATATTTCATCTGATACTCGTTTGGCACACTAAAGTAAGACCATGAAAGTTGTGCATCCCTCCATTTATGACCCAAGAATCAGCTTTATGTCAACAATTTATTCAGAATCAAATTGCAGCTTCACAAATCCAAATCAGACTGAAATGAATCTGATCCAGTTAAACTCAGACATGTTTTATGATGCAGTACATATCCTGGATCTCTAGTTCATGATGGCTAAAGCAGGACGTTTTTGTCTATTTAAGGGAAGGAAAATGCAAAATTGCACCGATGCAAAAAATCCTGTTTCTATAAGCAAAAAACAACAGACTTGCTCAAAACCCACCAAATACATTAAATGCATCGCTGCATTTTCAGCTGTCATGTATAACATCAGTCACCCACAGTAATGTATAAATATAAGGTTTGCATATTTAGAGAAAAGCTACACTGATTTAGACCAAGCTCCAGTGACTCTATTTGGACTCATTATTGTGAGGACGCAAGAATAAAACAAACTAAATTCACGTTAAAAGCCATCAGAGGTTGAAGCTAAAACCCAGCGAGAGGAGCTGTTGTGTATTTGGAGTGGCAGCATTTGTCTGTCAGATGATTAAACTGTGGCATTTGTTTTGTGTGATGTGAACATTTTTACAGCTCCATCTGCTTTTAGTCAAAGGAGGAGGGGGCTGCTGGGAAAAGAGCGAGAGCGCACTTCCACTGTTTATCCTGCGGGGTGGATCCACACAGAAGGGCAGATAATGTATGAGAGGCAAAAAAAGTGGGTTAATATCTGGAGGATTCCTCAGAAAGAACAACATGAAGTGAGAGATTATGTCTTCAAATTATCTTCATTAATGAAACTCTACAAAACAGCTTCAGCAGATATGAGGTTTAAAGCTACAATTAATGATTATTCTAATTATTAAATGCCCATAAAAGCACGATTAATCATTTTTGCTAGGAAGAAGTCTGCAAATATTAATATTTATTAATAATTCCCCAGATTCCTGATCAGATTTTTTGCCAATTAACTACTAATTAGAAAAACCCAGTACACTTCTATTTAAAAAAATGACTTCATGAAATCTGTCACTAACCCAGCAAATACTCACATTACCTGCTATCATCATCAGAAATGTTATTTAATGGTTAATCTATGAAAATATACCAACTCAGTTCATTAGCCAATTCATTTATCATCGTTTGAGCTTTAAGAAGCACATTTTATTACCTCGGGTTAAACACAATGACCTTACTGAGCATAAAATCGATTTAATGTCACATTATTCTTCATTTCAGCTGAAACCACCTTATTTCAAAGAAATTGTTTTGTCTAAAACTTGTGAAAATATAAATTCATTGAAGGAAACGTAAAGGCATAAAAACTCCACGAAATTAAAAAATAAAAAGCTTAACACATCAAACGTCAAACAAGGTTAAAGAGAAGTCCATCATAAAACACTCACTTTTCTTGTTTCAATATCAAACAAGTATCAAATCGTACTGCTGTAATGTCAGTTCGGACTTCCTCCCCACTAATTGGTGCAGTTAGAGAAATAATCGATGAGTAATTACCCATCAGTGAACAAGTCAAAAGATAATTTCAACTGAAAATAATTCTTCAGCTCTTAGAGCGCTGGTGACCGTTCTCACACCATACAATGAATGAAGCTGACACCGTAACTTTACAATCACGAATCATCAGCAAAAGGCAACAAAATACCACGAAGAAGGATAACCTGTCATACAACTTTAAGAACATTTAATAACAACAATGTTATCAGCGAAATGTGACCGCAAACTTTTCCTCCACCAGAAGGCTAATCAGCATCAAAGAGTGCAATAATAAAATATAAGCATCAGCTGTTAATGTGGGAATACTCAGTGTAATTTCTTATATCGCGGAAGTCTTCAGTATGTGAACGGTTTTCTGAATCATTTAGAAGCGCTAAAGACTCACCGTGAGCGGACAGGTTGACAGACACAAGGTGACAAAGAGCAAACTTTTCATGTTGACTCCTCAGCTGGAAGCCAGTGAGCTGTCCTAACAGGAGGAATTTGGGTTAAAACACTTCATTTAAACTCCTGTTAAGAGTTTTGATCCGGGTAAAAAAACAAAAAAAACTTTAAACATTTTTTTTATTCCATGAACGATATCGAGAGAAAAAGAGCCCAGTCTGCGGTGTCCTCTATCCACGCTGCTCGCTTCCACTGAGCTGAATGTGCGGACAGATCATTTACCCGCAGCTGACTTCTACTGTCAAGTTCACAATCGCATGGAATCACATTTCCGGTACGGGCTTTCAAAATAAAAGACAATAGTGTCACAATATCAGATTCTCACGGCAAAAGCTTTTCTCATAATCAAAAAAATGTCACATACACTTAAATGCCACTTCATTATTTACACATTACTGTGCTATACCCCTTTTGCTTTAATTCTTCTTGGTCTATATTGATGAGATCATATCACATCAGTGATGAGAATCTCCTGTTCCTCCACATCCCAAAGTTCCTAAATTGGATTGAGATCTGGTGACTGTGGAGGCCATTTGAGTCATGTTCAAGAAATCAGTTTGAGGCGGTTCCACCTTTGTGACATGATGCCGCATGCAATTGCAGGCAGCCATCAGAAGATGCGTACCCAATCATCAGCATTGGGGTTGTTACTCCAAAAAGTTACATAAAAGTTAAGTAAGTAATTTGTTACACTACTAGCTACTCTGTAATAGGAGCTCAAATGCACTGTCACATATTTATAACTAACAAAGTAAACTTCAGCCTTCAGTCTAACACGCCAACATTAATCGGATGCGGAACCTTAAACCCGGATTGAGGAAGTTGGAACAGTTGATTGACAGGATGGGATGGGTGCTCTCTGGCATCTCCTGGTGTAGGTGTCCTGAAGTGGGGGGAGAGCGATCCTGCAGCAGCGTTCTGCTGTACAGATCACATTCTGAGGAGCTTTTTGGTCCTTAGCACAGCTGTTCCCAAACCAGGATGTGATGGTGATGTTCTCTGTGAGGATGCTCTCCACAGCGCCTGTATAGAAAATCCTGAGGATCTCTGGAAGTCAGGAAGTCCAATCAGATTTTTAAAATACTTAGATCAGCCCCACTGGTATCAGTCGCTATGCCACATCCAAAGTCACTTGAATCACCATTTTTAACCATTCTGATGCCCAGTTTGAACTTTAGCAGGCCATCTTGAGTTGTTGCCGTGTGATTGTGGCATCAGATATTTGCTGACGAGGAGCTGGACAAGTATACCTAATGAAATGGCAGTGAGTTTATGACATCTAAAAAGTAGTATTCAAATTTTATTCCATTTACTGTTTGTTTTCTGTCTTTAATGAAATACACTCAAATATAGGTGCAGAAAATAAAACACATAAACATGGCGTTCCCAAAGTGTACAATTACAGAGAGAATTACAGGTAATAGAGAATTCTAAGGAAACCAGTTGAACTCATAACAGAAGCTCCACAAAACGTAACACCTGCCATCAATGCGATGTCGACTGAAACACATGGAGGAGGAGGCAGAGAGAGTTCGGGTACAAGGCCACCGGCTGGCAGCTAACTGTTCTGATATACTGTGATTTAATGTCCACTGACCATTAGCTTACATAACCGTTTCCTCGTTCTATTTTTCACATTCTCTGTCCAAAGGAGGACATGCATCTTGGTTTTCTGTCCCTTTGTGTTAGGCCTGTGATGGACTGGTGACCTGTCCAGGATGTACCCTGCCTCTAACTCTATGACAGCTGGAATAAGCAACAACTCCCCCCATGACCCTAAGTTTGATAAGAGCCTATTTTGCAGTGTTAAGAAAATAATTCCTGCCACTGCGTTATGTGCACTATTATCATATTTATGTTAATCATATGATGTCCATATTTCATTTTTATATTGTGAGTACCAGAATATCATGAAACCCATAAAGTAATACAGAATTAATCACATTCATAAAAAGTTGTATATAGCACTACTCTTCACTAACTCGCTAACCTGTGACGAAGGGGCACAAGTACATTTTGTCACAAGTTAAAATGCCTGTAATTAAGCTCATGCTCAATCAAACATGGGGGGGTCATCAAGCATCTGAATGGTTTGCCAGCTCTGAACCTTGCTGAAAGTTATGGCAGAGCTGAACAGCACTGGGTTGTGAGCGCACCACAGCACTAAAGGATGTCAGGTCCTCAGTCGTGTCACTGTCATGGAGTCAGTTTATGACTGCTTGGTCAGACACATGCATGTTAGTAGTCCACTGGAGGGTGTTTTGTACGTACTGCTCCTTCTGTTCTATTGGTCATAAAGGAGCAGATACTGGTCCTGCTGCTGGGTTGACGTCTGTTCTCCTGTAACGGCCAAGCTCCTGTTCTAGTAAAAACATCGTAAAATTTCATATGGAAGGAGGTGGCGTACCTTTGCAACCTTTTCATGCTACCAGTACTACAGCACATCATACATATATATATTATTCTAGTACAGTTGGTGTGGAGCGGAATAAACGGCTATTCTACTCCATTTTATTGATGTCATGAACTGGTGGAAATTTGAGAATGGGACCCAAAAGCAGACTCAATACACGAGTTGAACTATTTACAAGGTTTATTTAATAATTGGGAATTTGAACAAGAACATGGTTAGAAACTGAAACTTAAACAGGGGACCTACAGCCGAGGAAGGTTGAAAGCGGAGAAACACTAAAACACAGGGAGTGCACAGAGAGCAAAGTAACTGGGAGCTCTGCAACAGAGGAGAGGGAGGTTACCGGGCAGGAAGGCGAGAGAATGACCAGAGGTGAGTAGGTACTGCCGTGGGGTGTGCTTACTTGCAGACTGCAGGTGGTGAATCCTGGGGTAGGTGTCTCTGAGAGTGTCCAGTAGGGTGAGCACAGTGAAGGAGGATATCCAGTCTCAGAGGAGTGGCGATACACAGAAGGGCAGTCAGGTGAATATGAGGTCAGTATGGAAGTCCTTAGTTTGATATCTGACTGTAGTAGTTGGAGCAATTCGGACCAGCACTGACAGGAGGAGAATCTGGTAGGAACTGAGGACAGAGAGCAGTATTAGATACAGGACAGAGGACCATGGAACTCAACACCGGGAAGCCAAATTACTACCAGAGGTAGTAAGACCAACTGGTGATGAGAAGCAGGCAGTGCTGGTTTAAAAATCCTCCTTCTGGTTGTTCCTGGGTGAGGAGCAGGTGAGGCGCCAAAAAGCCCACATTGGAGGATGAAGCAGCAATTTCTCGCACACCTGAAAAAATCCAGATGCTCTCGCGAAACATGACACTTGAGTAGTGTAACATTTTTTTCCTTGTGAAAGTAACACACACACACTCTGTCACAGGAACCCTCGATCTGTGGGTAAAAGGCAGCCGTCATCCCCGCCCCACATGGGCGGAGCTATCAGCTCTCTCAGCGTGGTAAATGGGCTAGTTGTTAGTCTTGCTCTCATCGCATGTTCCCTGTGTGTAATTCTATTTCTCCTGGTATCTCTATTGACTCCAACAACCCCTGATCACTCCCTGACATTCACCTTTTCAGGAACACCATTTCTCCCGATATGGATTAAACTCACCCACTCACCCAACTTTAGATAACTGGACCTAATCCCAAACATTAATTCTTCTGCCATCCAAATGACTCAATGTTAGAAATATTGACTTGGCTGCTTAGTAGAAGGCTTTGAAAATAATTTGGACTGACTCCAGAATAAAAAGTTTTAAATTCACAACAAAGACATTGGATAATTAAGTAAGCAGACTATTTTAATTCGTGTCTGTCCTTTAGCAAATTCCTTTCTTCCAAATGATACTATTAAAAAATCCACATTGTGAGAATGAATTACTTGAATTTGACAGCTTTTATTATATCGACTGTTTCTAACAGCAGGGAACAGTTTGTTCATCAAACAGCTCTTATGTCTTTTTCTTTTATTTGCGTCTGTTTCCACTGCAGTGAATGGATGTTTTTATATAATACATTTTCAATTCACACACAGACTCACAGCTGCACTGGGTAGTGATTAAACAACTTTGTCATCATCTCACAAATGATGCTCCCACAAAGTTTGTATCCTTTACTACTACAATTTTCATCTTGGTTCTGACCTCTGGAATCATTTATTTAAGTCTACGGTGCTGCAGCAGCACCTTGGTAATGGTTTGTCCCATCCCAAAAAAAACTAAACACTGTTAACCGCTGTCTTCAGCATTAAAGCAGTGTATTCTTGGCCCATATATTACCTCGCCTCACCTCTTTCTTTGTGTAGATTACTATCATCATTAAAGAGTGGTGTTCCAATAAATATGATATCAATAAGCATCACAAATGCCCACTTAAAAATAAGAATACTGTGTTTGTTCTTTCTGCTGTTACCAAGTGGGGGGAAAAGAGCTTTAGTCTAAATCTGGCTGCCTTCAAAGTGCACAAGAAAAAAAACTAAGAGGTAATAATAATAACAACAACAACGACAATAATAGTAATAGTAATAATAACAATACATTTTATTTGAAAGTGCCTTTCAAAACACTCAAGGACACTGTACACAGCAGAATAATAAAAGCACATAAAAGCAAGCAGTTTTCACAATCATAAAAGCGTAAGACATAAAACTAATTTAGAACAAGAGTGGAGAGGTTATGTGGGGTGAACTATTTTGAACCAGTGATTTTTGAGTTGGGACTTAAAGAGAGAGAAGGAAGAGATATTTCTTAAATCAGGAGGTAGGGAATTCCAGAGTCAAGGAGCAGAGCAGCTGAATGCCCTGCACCCCATAGTGGCAAGATGGGGAGAGGGGACAGAGAGAGAAAGAGAAGAAGATCTGAGACACCGAGATAAAGCGGTGATCTGAACCAGATCAGAGGGATATGGAGGGGAGAGATGATGTATAGCCTTAAATGTGTACAAGAGTATTTTGAAATTGATGCAATATTTGACCCGGAGCCAATGAAGCTGCTGCAGGACAGGAGGGATGTGATGGATAGAAGGGGTCCTGGTCATAATACGAGCAGCAGTGTTCTGGACACGTTGGAGCTTGTGGATGGAGTTTAGAGTAAGACCAAAAAGAAGAGAGTTGCAGTGATCGATCCAGGAAGTAACAAGGCTGTGAACAAGAATGGCAGTGGCATGTGGGGTGAGAAAAATTCCTGACCCCCTGACCTCAGGAACATCAGTTCATTCCCTCTTTTTTTTCTTTGTTTATTAGAA